TCCGGATCTGTGTATGAGCCACGACATATCCAGCAGCGATGGTCTCGATCAATGTTTCGCAAATCTCAGAAGGAATACCATGGCCCTCCCACAATGGAGGGTTTGTGTGTGTGTGTGTGCGGAAATAGGGTGAGCGCAAAATCCTTATAAAGCTACTGCACTATCCAAAGAAAACTTGCCACTAAGTCCTGCGAAGGTTTCCCGGTTTTTGTTGGAGTTTGTATTCCTAAGGATCCATAATTTCACGAATGCTATATGAATAGGCAAAGGTTCCACGAATGACCGGACCTTCCACAAAGTTAGTGGAATAGGGTTCTACTAAGCCCTTTCCACGCACTACCCTCCCTTTGCCGCAGTTAGGGACGCCAGAAACATAAAAGTGTAGACTATAGACATTAAAGGACATCCAGGGAAACTTCATGAAACTTCAAACATAATGACTCAGAACATTGAGCAAACACTCACGGAGACTTGAAGACACTTAAACAAGTCTGAACCAGGACACAAGCAAAAACTCAAGACACTCAAGGACACTCCAGGTCATCTAAAAGAAAAACTAGACGGTTGCGTGGTTTGTGAAACCGCTATTTTTTCCGAAAGCACACCGCTTCACATTGGGCTTGTGGTTTTCGCAGATTTCGTCCGATGCTTTGGTGCTCACAGTGAAACAATGTTTGCCACAAGCATCACAGGAAGTTTCCATTCGGGCAGTGCATGTGCATCCCATGTTGTAATGTGGGGTTGGCATGAAGTCGACAAACCCAACACCAGCTTGAACACTTGTGTGCCACTTGGCCGTGATTGAAGCCCGGAGGGTGGGTTCGTATGGTGGATGATGAGGAGTGAACTCGTTGAATGTGTCACTGCGTTCTGATTATAATTTTGCATACAGTTGCTAACAGTGGAACGTACAAGTCCAATGCAAAGCAGGAACCAGAGGGAGAGGCGAAAGCGGAGGCGACAGGTGATCCACAAGATCAGGGACAAGAAAAGACCGAGGTGGATTTCAAGGACGTGGGCCAGGATGAAGTGAGGGAGGCTAGGCTGACCACAGTTGGCGAAGTTCAACCTGGTAATGTCGGGGTTGCCGAACCATCAATCCTCGTGAGGCCGCTCGCACGAGGCAGAATGCCTTGGATCGGCCACGCTGGCGATTTGGAACGGCAGCCTTCTGTGCATTCGGGCCAGGGCAAAACACCGCATTTGCTGGAGTCAGGCCGTAGGCAGTGTGGAAAATGCGCGGCCAACCGTGCTGGCCAAAACGTGGTGTGGGGTGTGCAAGGAGTAGAACCGGAGAGATTTTGACTTTTTGCATGAAAGGCTGCATTGTACGTTGTAGTGGCCTCAGATTTGCTGGCAGAAGAGTTGCACGCCCTGTTTTGCAGTCAGTTGGAAGGTTTGTAATGTCAGTGGTTGCTGGCAAATGCTCCGGTACCGGTAGCAGTTGTACAGCTCAGGGCCAACAATTTTTGCAACTTTCACTGAGGGAAAAGTTGCAAGACCTAGACCAGTTGGAGGAGGACAGGATGCCAGAAACAAGTGGGCGAACATCACCTCAGGTCATTGCAAGCAAACTGTTTGAGTATTTTGCTTTGGAAGTTGTGTCCAAAACATAAAGTTATATTTTTGCTGAACATTTTGAGCAAAGAATTTCGGCAGTTGAATTGCCACCAGGCAGTGAAACTTGTTGAGAAAGCGGTGGCCGACAGACAAACGCAGGGTTCCTCAGCACTTCGCGGGGACACGAATTGCAGCAATCCTACATCAGTTTCATCATTTCCCACATGGGCGCGCATTTCAATATTTAAAGAGCCCCACCCAATGGGTTTTAGTAAATTTCCATTCTCCCAGCACACCCGAGTTCGCGGTCTTGTTTCGCGTCGCCACCAGATTCTCGGTTGAGGCGTCAGCCTGCGCTGATCCGGCAGTTGGCCTTCTACTTCTCAGTGAGCGCCCGATTCTCTTGGAGGGCCCCTCCATTTTGATTGGCGTGGAGGGTCACTTTTTTTTTCCGGATTCCTTGCCCATATGTACTGCACTTCTATTCTTTGGAAAGCCATGCAATGCAACGCAGTCCTTTGCCTCTGAGTCTTACAGTCACTTGTCCACTGCACCTTCACCACTGATCGCCGTGTTCCCACGAGGACGGCAACCTGCGGCGCGACCGTTTCCTGCGGGAGAAGATCGTCGGGGGAACCGCGGACGGAGGGCGGCGCGTCGAGGGGTCTGGGACGTCGGTGCCGGACGTCACCTCCGACTCACTGGATGGGACATAGGCCGAAACCGACGGTATGGTTTTATGTTTCTTCTTCGGGCACGGCTAGGCAGGTCTAGAGATGAAGGTCCTCAACACGACTTTGATCAGACTGGACTACATGTGAGCATCAACGCACAGGGCATTTGATGAGGTCCTTCGAACTCCACAATGTTCAAAGTGGCCGGGTCAGACTTCTTCAGGGATTGATGCGGAACAAAACAGGGCATTTTTGCCCGGTGCATCCGTAAAGATTCAATATATCCTGCTCCTAGGAGCATCTTCCCTCTGAAGGACGCCCAATTCGGACTATACTCCTGACTGCGTGTTGCTGACTGCCCCAGCTGCTTGGAGGTCTCCTCTGACGATGGTTTCGTGCCCATCTCAGTCCGGGAACGTCAGAGGGGCCTCGTTTGGGAGATGGAGGGGCCTCGTCATGGTCATCCGTAAGTGGCTGGAAGTGCAAGTGTGCTTCGAAACCCTTAAGGCAGTAACGGGTTTTGTGTCCGTGTTTGGACAGTGCCATGGCCGAGGTCATTTTACCTTTCAACCGGTTGAAGCTCATGGGCTGTCCGGGCAGCACGGTGGGAGCAGAGGATAAAAGCAAAACATGTCAGAATGTGAAAGGACTCCTCACTCGCCCCCGCTTTTCGAAAAGTCAGAGGCTAGCGAGTGCTGGGCTCAACCTTTTCCACAGTGAGTGCAATTATCGGCCGTGGGCGGGCATTTCATGCTATCCAGAAACTGAAACTGAATGGGCAGCATCAGACACGCCATCCATGTGTGAAGTGTTGGGGACATGATTGATCATGATTGAGTGCTACTGGGTGGCAAAGGGTGCCTCCAGGCATTCATATGTTGCATGCCGTTTCCAGGCTTTCGCCCTGCTCAGGCTCCACCCGTGCAGAAGTCTGTGCAGCGGTGGAGGCCACCGCACCTTTTATCATGCTGGCTCCATTGACACACACACACACAGAAGGGTGTTCATGTTTATTTATTTTTACTATTTTTTTTTTTTCTCTCTCTCTCTCTCTCATTCTCTCTCAATCTCTCTGATTTTCTCTCATTATTCTCTTGATTTCTTCCTTCCCTTTCCTTCCCTTCCTGGGTGACATCTCGGACCCCGGTGATGTGTGGTGAACTCCAGTCCTGAGTCCCAGGCAGCCGAGGCCAAGTTCAACCTGGAACTGTCGGTGCGCTGAAGCAAGGGCAGGATGAGCCACATGAGCCCCTTTGGCAAGGGCTTTGGGTCCAAACACGTTTCAACATGTTTCAACTTAGCTCTCCTGGGTCTTCTTGGGTTCTCGTGCCAGGAGCAGCGGGACGGCATCCGCCGGCGGGGCAACGTGCCTCCGCCGCCCCTGCAGCTTGGAAAAAGCTCGGAAGGGACACCGATGACGTCCTGACGCAGGAAGTCGCTTTTCGGTCCCGGACGTGCTTTGGCCCAATGATGCCACCCTCACCTCAATGGCATCAACTTCGATATGCAGAGCTGTTTGCTGGTATCCTTGGGTTCCTTGCGTTTCATTTCCCTTTCGTTCGTATCCCTCCACGGCCCCTTCGTCTCAGATTCTCTGAGTTCTTCACACGCACGAGCCAGGGCCCTCTTCACCCCAGCGCAAGACTCCGCCTGCCGAGGTCCTTCGGCGGACCTGGGAGCGACTTCGTCGGTAGACCCAGTTCGGCGCCGTCCGCTTGACGCCCCGTTTCGCACGCGCCGGTGCGCTGGGCCCAGGAGAAGCGGTCGGTGCAGCTGGCCGGCTTTCCGACAGGCCGGGTGCTTGACCCTTTGGGGAGAGAGGGTTGTGGGTGGGGAGTGGGCAACCATACAGTAATTCACTCAAGTTGTCAATGAGCACCTTTTGTGGATGATTCCGTGCACGGGGCCTCGGGCTCACGGCCATCCATCCATGTGGCGCACGTGTGGTCAGGGCTCTCAACCGGCCTGACAGGTGCCACCCCGGAGCCGAGCCTCGAAGAGGTGACGCAACTCTGCGAGCCCTTCGGGGTGGTCGCCTTCGTTCGGTTGCGACTCGGTCGTGACGGGTGGTGAGGGGTAGCCGGTGGGTCGTGAGGGGTAGCGATGGGTCGTGGACATCCATTGGTTGAAGAAGTCACCAAAATCGTCTTCCTCGCATTTCCACAGTCCCCCCCCAACAATTTTTTGACGCGTTTGGTTTGTCTTAGAGGTGGACGTTTGAACCACCACTGGTTTTTTGTTAGGAAAACTGGTTGGTGGATTTGGGACAGTCGGAGCCTCCGGTTTTCTCTGAGGCTCCGCGAAGTGGGCAGTGGCGGGAGCTCCGGCGCCCTGGCAGGAGGGGAGGCTGCTTGGTTTTTCCGAAGGCTCCGCAAACTGCAAGGGGTGGTTCTACCAGACAGGGCCGACACGAGGTGTTTTCTTGGGGCCATTCAGGGCCACAGGATTCAACCTCAGCCAGGTTTTGGCCCTCTAGAGAAACGGAGTTGGATTCTGGGCCGGACATCTCCACCTTTTGGTACTTGTCTCCTCCAATTCTGATCTAGCGTGGTAGGCCACCCCGCGTGTTTTTGGCACCTCCACACCTCAGTCGCGGACTGAGGCACCAAGCCCTTCGCTGGGCGCGTGGAGGTGGAGTTCCAAACGGAGGAGGCGCGCCATCCAGACCGCTGGATAAGTTCAAGAATATTGAATATTGAATATTGAATATTGACGATGATGACGATGATGATGATGATGATGATGATGAGTACAGTTCAGGGGTCGGACGAGTCATGCTTGCCCGCCGACGCAGTTATGGGCAGTTGTTTCGGGTCACGACCGCCTCCCTTCCTTTGCCTCCGCCAATGGGTTCGCTGACCAGCCAATGCGTGCCCAGTGGCCCCGAAGGGGCTGCAACTTGGTGGCGACCTGGGTGGCGACGTAACCTCATGGCTGCCGTAACATGGGGTCGAATTAGGCGTCTTTCCGGGTGAAACAGCAGCATCCGGGTTGGATCTCGTAGTGCCAAGGGTGACCTAATCCTAGAGTGACACCATCAATTAGGATACAGATCTGCTCAATACCTGTGTTTTGTGGGGATTTCTCTGCCTGTGCAGTGAAAGCGGGCCTGGGTGACAGCCAGCAGTTTAGCAAAAAGAATGGATGGTCCAACTCCATGACCCCAAGAGTTTCCAAGTGCTCTGCATGGACCACCACCACCACCACCAAGAAGAAGAAGAAGAAGAAGAAGAAGAAAAATAATAATAAGAATAACAAGAAGAAGAAGAATAACAAGAACAGGAAGAAGAATAATAACAAGAACAAGAACAAGAACAAGAACAAAACCAACAAGAGCAACAACAACACCTCCACCTCCGCCTTCTACATAGGTTCCTCAAAGGCGAGCTCTGTTCTTCGGCCTCACAGCCTCCATCCCAGGAGCTGCTCGACCCCGATGCACCTTCTGGCACGCGTCTGCCGCGCCAGGCTGCGGTGGCGCAGAGGCTGCGTGAGGTGTACGAGGCAAAGTTTGCCTTTCCCTCTTGGAGCTGCGAGCGCTTGGGCGAGGGCAGTCTGGAGGTCTATGCCCAGAGTGCAGCTAGAGCTGAACATCGCCTTTGAGGGAACCACACCAAGCTGACTGATTGAGTGGCAAAGTAAAATCAAGCTGACTGAAGAGGGGCACGTGGAAGAGCTGGAAGTCCCCCCCCCTCCCATCCTACGCGCGCGAACGCCCTTTGCGAAGGGGCCGCACGTCGAGAAGGCTTGGACCGCTGCCGAGGTGACCGTCTACTACCCGCAGGGCGCTCAGCTCGCGGAGGTGAAGCGCTTGGTCCGAGAGCGTGAGCCCGTGAACATCGGCATGAAGCGACGCTACGACCAGCAGAAGATGCAAGAGTACTTCGGTGGCTTTGGTGCAGGTTCTGGCTTGGGTGGGGGGTGGTGCTTGGTATCAGTCGGCTGCCGTTTTGGTTGGGCCGGCAGCTTGGGAGTTGGTGAGGCAAGCGCACACGCATGGTGTTTGAAGTGCGATGAGTGCGGGATTTGATTGGACTCTTGAGCTGAAAGATCCTGTCTGAGGTTATGCTACTGGCGCTTACGGATTCTGAGTTGAATTAGGAGGGAAGATGTGTTGCGGGGTGGTCTTGGCAAGGTGAGTCATGAGTGGCGCGAGTCACTCCAAGGCAGGGGCCATAAGTGGAGATTCCTTGATGTGCTTTAGACGTCGCCATGACCCTTTGCATGGCCCTCCAAACGAATGGTTTCTCTTTCTTTTGTCGGTGTACCCCGACGGGGTCGGAGCCATTTGCTTCGACCTGGGCTGCTCGACTTGGGTCTGGCCCATGTCTCGTGGTGTCCAGGGCGGCTGAGCTCCAGCGAGCGGCTGGGCCCCAACCTCGCCGTCTACTGCCGAACGCCCATGCGGGCGCCCGACGGCCGCGAGCGGGACGCGCCTAGCACGGATCGACTGGGGGCCCCGAGCCGATGTTTTTGTTCAGCGCGTGGGGTCGTTGACGATGCCTACAGTAGGCAACTCCACGGAATATGGTGCCAGCTAGCTTCACCATTTGTCTAGGGGAAACGACTTTAGGAGGTTTCAGTTTGCAGGACATGAGAAAAGCTAAGCACCAACTCGAACAACCAGCTTGTTGCACCCTTGCAGTTTGTGATTCGTGGAATTCCTGGAAACGAGTGCGAGATTTGGCCAGGGAGCGGGACCGCCCCATGGGCCAAGGGATTTCTGGTCGCCTGCTGAGCCGTTTGAGGTCCACGTGATCAATGTCATAGGCTTTGCCTTCGACAAGACTCAGCAGCCAGACTATCAGTACTTCCTGAACCACGATGACGTTCCTCGCCACGGTCCTGACCAACTGCGGTGAAGTATATATATATATATTTACTAGGGACATATGGTTGTTACATACATACTCATACACACATACATGAATATATATATATATATAAAATATAGAGAAATCGACGTGTTTACTGTATCAAGTGATCGCAAGGTGGCAAGGCAGAAGGGCACAAAGTGTTGTTGCTGCCAGGAGGATGGACGGAGAGCAGAGCTTGTCAAGAAGATGAGCCAAATGTGGGACACACGGCATGCGATGTGAGGGTGGTCACCACTCTCTTTGTCAGAAGATCCGCCTTTGGTGTATCGGCGAGGCACACGCTGCGGCCGTGCCCCCCCTTTCGATTGCACCTTCACACAAGTGATCTACCGGACTTGCGACAGTTGGACATGCACAGGCATCACCGAAATGCCCCCGAACCCGCCAAAAAGACGAATGAACAAAGAAACAGGGACGGGATATATGAGTAAGTTGGTGATCAGTGGTCCCTGTATTTGTTCCATTTTTCAGGAGCTTGTGGTGCAGGGGTCACAGTGACAACCGCTCCCCAGGAATATATCTATTTCTGCGCACATGAGAAGAAGCTGAAGTGCGTGCGGCTTTCGCAAGTGGGGGGCGGAGCCTTTTCGTTGCTGCTGGGGGGAAACTTCGACTACCAAGCCCTGAGGAAAGTGCCTTTGCAGCGTGAAATTTGAAAGTGTCAAACAAGATCCGACAGTTCTTTTTAAATTATATACTTGCCTTGCTAGCCCTTATTTTGGGCAATAGTATAGGATCATTATGGATCATGGATCATTCAAAATCATGGGGGCTGAGGGGGGGGGGCTATGGACCTTATGCCCAAGGCCTTTTTAGAGAATGACTAAGCTATCAAGTATATAACATCAAATAACTATCAGATCAGCCCCTTCCTGCAGGCCCTCCAAAACAGACATGTGCACGTTTTTTGCCGTGGCGGATTTTGACCATCCGACGGCTCAGCAGATGTTGTTGCTCATAATGTTGTTTGGTGGAAGGAAAGAGGAATTGAATTCAGGTTTTCCAGTTGGCATGGGCTGATCATGGCTGATCTATCAGCCAATGAATCATTAATCAATTTGGGAACCTTTTGAGGCACCAAAATCGATAACTGTTGAGGGCACTGGCTAATTTCTGGATAAGACCTGGATAAGCCTTGGATAAGGGGGAATCTGCAAGGCAGGAGGTTTTTAGGGTAACCCATGGATAAGCCCTGAATAGCTTGTCCAGAAGGCTTTTGGTGAGGCCAGGAATGCCACCAAAGGAGCCCTCAAATTGAACCCCACAAAAGGCCTAAGCACTAGCTTTTGAAATTCTGGTGGTAGATTCTGGACACACACACATACATATATATATATATATATTAACTATAAATTTCATGATTGATGAAACACTCAATCGATTGTCAAAGAACAGTCGCTGGCTTTTTGGAGCCAGGGCCCCGAAAGGAACGGCGGCCAAATCGAGCGGAGCCGATGGATGAAAACATCGGGTTGGGATTGGGTGGTCTCATTTGGATAAGCTATCCTGTGTCTATCCAAGGCTAATAAGACTTTATTGGGGTCTTCTTGCTAAGACCTTATTAAAGGCCTTTTCCATGGTGGTTAAAAGCCCATTAAAAGCTTAATAGCTGCTACTAGTACTGTAAAAAGACGGGGAAAGACGGGGAAAGGAACAGAGAGGGACAGGAGAAGTCAAGGAAAGGAAACAAAAGGAAAGGAGAGGGAAAGCACATGGACAGGAGAAGGAAAGGAATGGAAAGTGAAAAGGAGGAAAAGGAAAGTAGATGAACAACAGGTGAACACAAAGGTACTATGAACCACCCCCAGGGATGCCCTGCGCCATTTTCAGCAACACTTGGACGCTCCTTCAGTGTCCAGATTCCTGAGAAGTCCTTGTGTTTGCTTGCCGCGTTCTATTTTTGGGATGGGAGAAAAAGAGCTTTGGGATGCGCCATCTATAGGTTTTGCAGCCCTAGTTTTCGTGATGTTTAATGATTTTTTTGCGACAGTTTTTTGTGCTTCCTAGCTCAAAGATGATTCAATTGACATGTGGTGTTGAGCCATCTATGGCTATGGTGGCTACCCCCTGAGTTGCGCCAACAACTTTCACCCCGGGGTAATTATTAGAAGCTTAATAAGAATGCACACTGTTTGCACACTATCACTGAGCAAGCCCTAAGCACCATAGCCCCCCCCCCCCGCCCCCCCCCCAACCCCCGTGACAAAACGCTGTTCTCTGTATGGCAATCGGTGAGACAGCATGGATTCCAGGGTGCCAAAGACATTCTGAGCAGCTTCATGGTATTGGGTTTGGGCAGTCCCTTAGTAAGCAAGTTCCACCAGAGAAATGCACTCAAGACCCTTGGCCCCATTCCCATGCCATATCGTGGATGTTTTGTTATGCATCGGAGGTTTCCAAACATTGTGCTCTGGGATTTGGGCCAGGAGTTCTGAGGAGGCCTTTTCTGGTTGTGAACTCGCGCCCAAAAAACCACTTAGGTCTCAAGCCTTTAAGGGAAGTTGGGGGACGAGTCATGCCCGCCACAGAGAGCGAGAGAGCGAGAGAGAGAGAGAGAGAGAGCGGAGAGCCCCGAGCCCCGTGCCATGAGGAATCGCTGGAGCCGGTGATGGCGCGGTATCCCGAGATCGAGACGAAGGAGTTGCAGTTCATCCCTGATTGGGAAGCGTGGATGAAGAAAGAAGGTTTTGCAGTTCAGTCAGCCCTGAAAAGAAGCCAACCTCGGGCTGGTTCCGAGGTCAGTTCGCCCGAAGACGCCGCTGGCTCCCGCCCAGTCTTTTCTTTGCGGATGATTTGGTCATGTCTTTTGGGGCCCATGCCATCTTCGTCCGTCCGTCTTGGTCCAAAGGAGCCGGGCTGCTCGAGTCTGCCCAGGTCTTCACGCCGGAGGGCGAGCGGTGCTGCTCGAGCAGCTTGTTGGTGAATGCATGGGATCCCTGGAGCTTTGTGGGCAACGGCAACGCGGGCGACAACAGCCACTCGGACCTGGAGCGGGTGGGAGCCGCAGCGAGGTCTCTGTGGAGTCACTGGAGGTCTCTGTCTCTGTGGGGTCTCTCACTGGGCCCCACCCTAGGTGCGCTGGGAACTGGCTCAGCCGCCAATTCGCTGCAGAGGTTGAGATTGCACATGATGTAGTGTTACACGTGTCCCAGGCCCCCTCAAGGACCAATGGTCGAGCATGGTTTTCTTGTGGGTCCTCACGGCAGGGTGACCATGCCTACAGGGCCTACAGTCTCCGGTCCTGAGGCCTCGATGGTTACTTCGGGCGCTGTACCGCCATGGCTGTGCTATGCTGGCCCGACACCAACCCCTGCTTGCAATTGGAGGACCGGTATCGACTGGTGCCTCCCTAGTCGAAACCTCCATTGCCGGAGGTCCTCAAGGCCGCACCGGAAGAACTGCGAAGATCTCATGGAATGAATGAATCATGTCGAAGCAAACTCTTGGAACGAACTCATGGAATGAATCTCACATGGTCTCACCAAAGCATCAGCCCGTCCAAGAAGTGCAGCATCCAGGTTTTTGATGCCCAGGTCGCTGTTTCCCTTTTTTTGTGTGTGTTGGCCTTCTGGAGCAACCTTGGCCTTCTGGTTAAGTTCCATTTTTACCTGGCAAACACCCTGGAAACTGGGGTGTGACCTAGATGAAAGTGATAGATGAGAGTTGAAGTCACCCTTCTAAATGCAGGGGTCGTTTAGGGCTTTGACGGATGGACGGTTTGCAGCCAGTGTGGAAGAAACCAAAGCCATTTGATTGAGAGCGCACGCTCGTAGCGGAATTGTTTGGCCCATCCGATGCGAAAGAAGGGCATGTGTGTTCAACGCGAGCAAAGGATTCGCGTCGGTACCTGCCGACACAAGGCACAAAAAGGGCGAGCTCCCGTCCTAGGAAAGAATCAGGAGACCACGGTATGCTTGATCAGATCCGGCTTTGCCCCCCACTATCCCCCTGGTACATGGAAAGCAGGATGTCTTCCCTCCGGGTTGTTGGTTTCATTTTTGTCTAGAATTCACCCTTGAGGGGTCCCGAAACTGTCCGTTGGGTACCTTCGATGCGGAGAACGCACCAGCCAAAAAACGTTCATCAGACTCGCCCCTTTTTCAAATACCAAGCCCGGAGTGGCTAGGTTCCGGTCGTGAAGGTCTCCAGGCTTTTGCACGTTTTATCTTCTCTTTTTTTTGGGCGGGTGTGTGTGTGTGTGTGTGTGAGCCATATATTACCCTCCAAGTCAAAGGCCTCGTTTTACTGGGCTCTATTTTTGAGGTGAAGGGTTATGTTTGTTTGGCTATTTGTGTATATAGTAGTGGAACCAAATGGGAAACCGAAGCCTGTACCGTAAACCGAGGTGCCCGGCACGGGTGCCACGTTGCTGTGTAACTACGCTCTAAGTCAGGAACCAGCACTTGGCACTGAATGAAGACATTCCAACTAACGCTTTTCAGGCAAACCATTCATATAAACATATTTAGACCATTTTCAATTTCCCATGGATGTACTCCAGGCTTGGTTCTTCGGGTTGATTCCGCCAAACACAAAGCGGCTGCTTTTTCCGCCGCACTTGAACAAAGAAAGGGCTTTGGGTTCACCCTAACTTGGTATACTTCTCGATTTGAGTGCGTGTCGTTGCACCCTCAACCTTTCTTCAAAAACTTGGTACACTTCTCTATTTGTGCACCGGCACTCCCCCTTGGCCAAAGTGGCCAATTTCGGTGCCTTTCAAAAGCCGGCCTTTTTGGCCTCTGCTTGAAAAGGTCACTTCGACCTTCAGCTCAAGCCCCCTCTCACTTCCGCTCTGGGTGTTCTAAAGAGCGTGTAGCCGACCCACGTGTTGGGCAGATAGGAGCTTCTCTTCCCCTGCCTCTGGTCGACCATGATGTACTTCTCCTTCCTCAGGGTCGCCCAAGCTATCGTGAGCCTCCATGGCAACCACTCTCGCTCGTCCCAGAGATGCGGGTTCTCAAAGTCGAACATCTTCTTCCTCTCTTGGACGTGTTCCCTGATCGTCACCTTCCCCCCGTCAGGCAGGTCCTCGATCGTCAGCCACGTGTCCTTAGCTGCAGTCCTCTTCGGCGGAACTCCCACCTTCCTTCGCAGCGCTGCCGTGAAGAACCCCGGCTGAAAGAGCTCGTCCTGCAAGAAATCCCACACCTCCTCGTTCCATAGGGTCCACTTCCCGAGTGTGATGCCATCGCCGACCGGTGAGATGAAGTTCAGTGCCTCACTCCTCATCCCGATTCCCTTGCTTCCGAAGGCCATCATTTCGGATGCCCCGCCCCTGGAGCCTGCAGCTCCTTCGGTCTCGTCCTTCTCCTCCGTCTCGCCAGCTCCAATGCCCGGTGCCCTCTTCGATGCCGATGATGCAGTGCCTTCCTCTACCCCTTCAGCCTTCTGTGTTACCGAGGGCTGCGATGGTCGATCCGAGCCGTGCTCATTGAAGATCACGTGAGTGCCCTCGGAGTCCATCATGATCCAAGTCCCTCCGAAGTTCTTCCTAGGGCCTCGTCTCTCCATCATCCGATCCCAGGCCGACATCCCCAGGCCCAGGCTCGCTCTCCTTTTCCTCTCTGCCTCTGGATCATAGTGTCCACGATGCCATAGGTCAGGATCGGGTCCCGGGTGACGTTCAGCTGGTTCAGGTCGGTTTGGAGATGGTTGGCCAGTTCCTCTGCCTGCCTCTTCAGCCGATGTCTGCCCAGGGTTTGTCTCCGGAACTTGGTTCTGACTTGAGCTTACCCTCATCGTTCTCAATGAGATCCGGCTCACGGGTGTCCTTGTTCCCAGCTCCTGTCTCTGGTAGAGGGGGTCATCAGGTTCTGCCCAAGGGTACGCTTCTTCGTGGGCTGAGTATCCAAAACCTCTGCTTCCCCTCTGAGTTTCGCTCAGGTCCTCCACATGGTTCACCCCCACCTCCAGGATGCGCTCCACGACCAACTGAGCCACTCGATCACCCTTGTAGACCCTCAGGTCGTCATCAGACCAGTTCCTCAGCAGAACCTTCACTTCGCCCCGGAAATCCCGGTCCACCACTCCAGCTCCCGTTTCGATGCCTCGAATCGCCAGTGATGATCGTGGGGCTATTCTTCCGTAGGTGCCCGTCGGCAACTCCATGGCAATCCCAGTCTTGACCAGGACGCTCTCACCAGGTGGAACCAGGGTCTCGATGGTTGAGTACAAATCTAGTCCCGCTGCATGGTCTGATCCCCTCGTCGGAAGTCGAGCCTCAGGGTTTAGCAACTTCACCTTGATCTCTTCTTTTGGCCTAAACCATCGCTGAACACCCGAAGCTCCTACCCGGAAGGCAATGTCCACCAGAATGGCGATGGCGGCCGTGATCAGGACAATGATCCACCACTCTCCCGTAGTCTCTGCCACCTCCACCTCCGCAGCTTCCACTCTCCCCATCAGACTGGCCGCTGCGACTAGGAGTCCTAGTCCTCTGGTGAAGCCCGGGTCGATGGTCTTGGTCAGCTCAATCTTTTTAACTTCAATCGGCTCCTTCTCGACCCCTTTGAGACCCAAAGCCTTCTTGAACCTCCCCAAGGCCGGTCCCGTGAGTTGTTTGGTGAGGCCATCTGCCACCAGGACCTTCCCGGACACGTGATCCAAGGTGATCTCCTTCTCTTTGATCGCCTCGGTGAGTCCGGCTGCTCGGATCCTCAAGTGTCTGGTCCTCCACGATGATGTAGTCCCTGTGGCAATCGCTATCGCTGCAGTGGAATCGGAGTGGAACCTCACCCTGGCAGTCTCACCCGTCACCGCCTCGATCAGAGCCGCGGTCGATCTCCCTGCAATCAGCCCCTCCAGCAGCGCCATCAGCTCTGCCTCTGCAGTCGACAGGGTGATAAAGGGCTGGCGCGTCGTCTGCCACCCTATTGGCGACCCTCCAACGAAGACCGCAACGCCAGAGATGCTCTTCAACTCCGATGACCCATACGAGGCGTCCGTGTAGATGTCAATGTTCTGGATCACTGCCTCCTCACTGCTCTCGGGCTCGGCTCCCCCCGTCCCAGCGTCAGCGGTCATCACCAGGACTTCTTCCACTGTTTCTCGAAGGTGAGCTCGGAGCTGCTTCCCAATCTTGATCACCTGCTTCGGCCTCTTCGATGCCCACTGGGACATGATTCCCACCCCAAGCGACAGGTCAGGACGTGTTCTCCCTGCCACCCACAACAGCTCCCCGGTCTCTTTCTGTGCTCGAAGGACTTGCTCCGCCGTGGGGTGTTCCTCCTCCTCTGGGGTTCGCACCTGGCCCAAGGCACTTCGCTCCTTGTCGTCATACTCGTTGAGGAGGTTGGTGATGTACGCCTGCTGGTGAATGACATAGTCCCTTCCCCGCTTCTCAATCTCCATTCCCAAGAATCGCACTGGCTCCTGGCCTTCTGCCACCCATGAAGGATCACCGATCTTCCAGTGTTCTTGGACCTGGTCGATGAATCCTTGGATGATCTTCTCTTCCCCCACCATCAGGACGTCATCCACGTACGTCGCCAGTGCTCCCTTGGCGACCCACATCCCCTGAGCCTCCAGCTCCTGGAGCAACCAGATGTCCGCCTGAGGTGTCGACTGCACTCGCACCTGTCTTCCTTCACTTTCCCACTTGAGGGCCTTGATTTTCTCATCTCTGTGATCACACCAATCACGAGGGGACGTCACTAACCCGTACAAGGCTTTCTTGACCAACCAAAGCTCATTCGCCTCCTGGAGCACCTCCGCCTCCTGGAAGATCCTTGGTGGTTGAACCACTACTGTCCCTCTATCATGGGCAGCAGGTGCGTTGAGGAACGCCGTCTTGACGTCAATGGTGGCGAGGGCCCACTGCTTGATCGAGGCCATCTTGATCAGCATCCTCACCTCAATCCCACTAGCTCCTGATGCGAAAGTGGACTCGGAGCTCTTGGCATTCATGAAGTTGCCACATGCGACTCCTCGACACTTGTGTCTCCCAGTTCCCGCCTTCCGGCTAAAAATAGCCTTGGCCGGAACAAGATCAAAGTCCTTCCCCAGAGACTTGGCTTCCTCCTTCAACTGATCTGCCTGCCTCTGGTCGATGGCTTCAACGGCTTCGGACTCCTTGATCAGGGCGTTGTATTCCTCCAGCATGGACGGTCTCCACTCTTTCAAGTGTTTCCGAACTTCAGCCAGCCCTACCATCCTGGTCTGCAGGAACTCCTGTTGGTCTCCCACTGCCTGTTCGGCCTCCGCCAACAGTTGTGCCTCTTCGTGTCGCCCTTCTCTCACGGCTTCTTCGACTATCTCTTCGACCTCCGTGGTCAACATCTTTAAGAACCTCTCGTTCACGATCTCACCTTCATCCTCCTCCAACAGGCTCAACTCCCGAGCCAAAAGTTGGGCTCCTCGATGCTGTAGCTCCCCCCAGCTTGCGGCCCCACAACCATCCTCCTGACTCGACTGCCTCTTCACACACCTCCGGATCCGGCCAGGTCTCTTCCGAGGCTGGTCTGTCTCCTCCCGATCGTCCACCTTGTGGACGACTCCTGCTTCCCTCTCAGGGACCTCAGCCTCCTCCGGGATCTCCCCGACCTGGATGATGTCTCCGGTGTGGAACAGCTTTCCTGTCTCAATCTCCTGAACCAGGTAGCCCGGAGTCGTCATTGACATCGTGACCGCCGGACACAGCACCCGGACTTGAGTCCTGGTCGTTGAAAGGTACTTCTGCCGGTCGCTGTAGTATTTCCTTTTCGCCCAGACGACCTGTCCGAAGGGGGCCAGTTCTCTCCTCTTCCAACCCATCGATTCCAGCTGCCGTCTCAGGCGGCCTTCAGCCCAATGCCTTGCCGCGTGGCACCAAAAGCTCTCGTTCAAGCCGGCTGCAATGAGAAGCGTTCTAGCGCCCCGTTTCAC